CCGGTGCTTTTCCTGCCGCGCTCCCCGCTCCGGCCCCAGCGCCCGTTGCTGTCGGCACTGAGGTGTGACCCGTCCCAAGGTCCCCAGGGACAGGTCCCCCACCTCCCTGGCAGAGGGGATGGGTGGTTTAGCTGCATGGCAGCAGCTCGCCCATCTGCCCAGCACCCCGTCATCCCTTTGGGGTGTACCCCGTCATCTCTTTGGGGTGCACCCCACCTCCCGGCTGCCCAGCATCCCCTGCCTGGCGCGGAGCGGGATGCTGGGGAAGGGCAGCCCGTCCTGCCGCCGCAGCCCTCCCTCCCCACGTGGCCTGGCTCCCGGCTGGAGCCCAAGCCCTGCATCGATCCGCGCTGCATCTTAAATCCCGCAGCAGCTGAAGCAAGCGGTTTTCAGCGCCAGGGCGGGGGGGTTTCTCCGTGGGCGAGCCGGCTCTGGCACCGGAGTGAGACACCGGGGCTGCTTCCGCAGCCGGTACCACGGTTGTTGGCACAAGGACCTTGCCCCCATCAGCGCTTTAAGGGTGATGCCCGAGCTCTATCCGTGGGAAAGGGTCCTCCTGGGCTATGTGGGGTTCCTGGGGTTGCACTGGAGAAGGGGATCCGAAGGGTGATGGATGAGCAGGAGTGGGGAGTGGGGGTGCAGGATGCTCCTTACTCTGCTGCATCACCCCTAAGGAGTGAGGGTCTCAGCAGAGCTCTCCACACGTGGCCACATCCCCGTCTGGGCCCTGGAGAGGAAGGTGCTGGGACAGCCAGGATGGAGGGGTGGGGTGGACAAGGGGCCTCCTCCCAGTGCCACCCTCCCCCAGCTGCCGCCGGGGTGGGGACGTGGGTTCCTGCTCCATTAAGCCCTGCAGCTTTTCTCCTCTAAAGCCTGATTACTTGGCGGTGCCTGTGTGCGTGCGTGCTCGGAGGGAGGAGGAGGAGGAATTTCACAACAACAAGTGTTTGCAGCCACACTGGACCCAGCTGCCCCGGAGTTGCCCCAGGGACAGCAGCATAGCATCCGCTCCAGGAAGGCTCTTGCTGTCACTGCTGAGCCCATGGCGCTGCTGGAGCAGCTGGGCATGTGTGCTGGGCATGCTGGGGCATGGCAGGAGGTCAGCACTGGGGCATGGAGGTGCATGCTGTGGCACCCTATGGGGTTGGAGGTGGGCACTGCAGCTCCTGATGAGGCTTGGAAGTGGATGCTGCAGCTCCCTGTTTGGTTTGGAGATGGATACTGCAGCCCTTGGTGGGGTTAGGAGGTGGATACCGTGGCTATCCATGGGATTTGGAAGTGGACATTGCAGCTCTTATGGGAATGTGGAGGTGAACACCATGGCTGACCATGGGATTTGGAAGTGGATGTTGGAAGTGACTCAGAATTGGATGGTGCAGCTGCCTGTGGGATTTGGGGTGAACACTGCAGCTGTTGGGGTTTGGAGCAGGATGCTGTGGATCCCTGAGGCACCTGAAGGTGGACACTGCTGCTCTCCATGTGGCTTCCTTCCCCTGCCCTGTGCTGGCTCAGGGACAATGGTCCAGGAGGAGAAAGAGGAGGAGGAGGAGAAGGGGTGAAGCCTAGCCTGAGCTGGGTGAGCAGCGTCCCTGGGACTGTGGGAGCTGGGCTGTTGCCTCCATGGCACTCGGCCTGGGGGACAAGGGTGGCTGCAGGGTGGGAACCAGGCACTCCTTGCATGAGCTCCAGTTCCTGGCCCGGGAGCATCGCGCTGGTGCCTGTGGTGCCATCCGGTGTGGGGCCGCACGCCGCTGGAGCGGAGCGGGAGATGAGCCCCGTGACTTCCCTGGGGCTGCTGTCCCTGGGGGAGGAGAGCCGGGCACAGAGAGCCTTTAAGTATCAGAGTGCCATTGCTACCAGGCCAGGACTTCCCCTGTGACCCCCCACTTGTGTCTGGATGGCGACCCTTTTGGAGAGCAGCGGAACGGATCTCCACCGAGGTCCGTTCCCTGGTGTTCCTTTGTTCGCGGCGCTGAGATTTTCATGGCAGGGGGAGGAAGAGCCGCTTTGAAAAGCCTCTTGGCTCTTGCCAGCGCTAACTCTCTTTTCTTTTCTCCTTGCAGAGCCGCGTGGTGTGTCCCAGAGCCGCAGAGTATGTCTGTGCACTGAGAGCACCCTGAGTCCTCCGCAGCCCGTGCGGGAGGAGACGCCCTGTTGATGCGCGGCCCCGTCTGAGCGTCCCTGGTGGCTGGCGGGCCAGTGCTACCAGAAGGGCTTTGGGGGTCTTTCACTTTGGCATTAGGGTGGGTTTTTGGGTTTTTTGTTGGGGTTTTTTTTTTTTTGGTTTTTGGGTTTTTTTTTTTTTTTTTTTTTAATTTTGGGGTTGGTTTGGTTGTTGTGCTCCGGGCACCATGTCAAATTCGGGCTCCCATCAAGACACTGGGAACAAGCCAGAGACGGAAAAAAATAACCAAGATGACTCTCAACCCCCTGTCAACTCCGAGAGGAGGAACAAAAGTGGAATAATAAGTGAACCTTTGAACAAAAGTCTTAAGAAGTCCCGTCCACTCTCCCACTATTCCACCTTTGGTAGCAGCAGCTCGGTAAGCGAACATTCAGAGAAAGGCAACCCCTTAGCTAATGGCAACGATGCGACTGTGGATAAAAGTCATTCTACCTCAAAGCACAAAAACATCTCTAGTATGCTGAGCAAATTAGACCGGATGTCGGAGCTCTCCTCAGAAGGACAGACCGCCCTCCAACAGTTTGCTCAGTCGACAGAAATGCTCAAAAGAGTGGTACAGGAGCATCTTCCTCTAACAAGCGAGCACGGGACTGGTATCTCTGACATGGAGGCAGTCTCAGCTGCAGAGACAATGAACGGCCCCTCTGATTTTCCTTACCTGGGGGCTTTTCCCATCAACCCAGGCCTTTTCATTATGACCCCTGCCGGCGTGTTTCTGGCAGAGAGCGCGCTCCATATGGCTGGCTTGGCAGAGTATCCCATGCAGAATGAGTTGGCATCTGCCATCAATTCGGGGAAAAAGAAACGGAAAAGATGCGGCATGTGCCCGCCCTGCCGAAGACGGATAAACTGCGAGCAGTGCAGCAGTTGTAGGAATCGCAAAACTGGCCACCAGATTTGCAAATTCCGAAAATGTGAAGAACTCAAAAAGAAGCCTTCTGCAGCACTGGAGGTAACCGGCCCCTCTCAGGCACCCTAACCCCTCCTCGGGCTGCGCTCCTGGGTTTGGATCTTGCCCTAGATAATAAAACACCTGGTACTTCTTATTTTTTTTATTTTTCCCTTTTCCATTAACAACTCTCACCCTGAGATGTGTGCTCTGCCCAGTGCCCCCAGTTCCCACTCCCTGCTATGTACTGGGGTTGATTGATGTGGGGAGGAGGGCTGGGGTCTCTCCTTGGGCACGCTGGACTTTGCTCTCTCCTCTGCAAGCACAGGCAGCAGTGGGGTGTTGGTGACAGCATCCCCTGTCCTCAGCTTCCTGAGCTGGGGAGCAACATCCAACCCCAGAGCAGGGAGGTGACTTTTTGGGGCAGACCTTGGGGTAATTGGTGATGATCAAACCTGTGGCCACAGTTCAGCCAAAGCCCAGCCCCTCAGCTCACTCTGCTCCGAGCAGGAGCACAACAATCCCTGCTTTTGGGAGCAAACTGCTGCAGTGTGCACTGGGCAGCATCCCCAGTGCAGTGCCTGTGCTGGGTCTCCCTGGGCCAGGATGAGTCCCTGAGGCAGCAGCTGGATTTCCTGTGGCAGCAGTGCTGCAGTCCCCACTGGCAGTGCTCCTGTTTCAGCACCCAGCAGAGCCAGGCACATCCCTGCTCCCACTGGGGATGTCCAGGTGCCCTGGTGCGGGCCAGCTGCTCGGGCTGTCACTGCCCACCATGCCTGCTTGTGGATGTCCTTGGCTTTGGAGGAGAGCCATTTGATTGGGGTGCCACCTTGCCAAATCCACTGGGGAGGTGTGACATTCATGTGGGGACTGCAGGGAAAGTCTGTTGGCTTGGGTTGTGTGGGTCTGAAACTCATTTGGGGCTGTGGGCAGCTGCTGGTGGCATGGTGTGTCTGGGAGCTGGGTGCCAGCAGGGCAGGGGTGCCCCATGCACACCCTGCTCTGGCAGAGCCTCCCTCTTCCTGCACACCCAGGTGCTGTGCTGAAGCCAGGTTTGATTTTTCTGTGAGCTGGCCCCACTCTCAGCCATGCTGGTGTGCTTCCTCCTTCTGTAGAGGCAGATAGGCTAAAAAGTCACCTGGACATCAGCTGGATCATGCCTCCTGGCACAAGGGCTTTGCCCATCCTCTGGTGGTCCAGATGCAACCAAAGCCCGCCGCTCCCTTAGCCACGTTCTACGTTTTTCAATTAGCATCAGCTCTGAATGAATACTGAAGGGGAAAAAAAAATCTATTTGGGCGGTGGGGATGAGGAGAGGGGGACTGTGTCTTTCAAAAACCGCTGTATTGCTAAATTATATTCTTGTTCTAATTTGCTGAGTCAGTGATCTGGAAAAAGGGAGAAAGAGAAAAAAAAGTTCATTTCTTCCAAAGAGTCCTAAAGCGGGTCAATAGACTCGGAGCTCGCAGCAGCCAGAGCAGTCGCTCCCTTCTCCCAGCGCTGGGTCTGGGGGTGATAAACAGCACCAGGAACCTATGGAACAGTCACCCCTGGGATGGATTTCTCCATCTCATGACTGGCTGGGAAATTGAGGCCACTGAAATAGGGTTCTGCATCTGCTAGAGCTGAGCCCCACTGGAGATGAGCCCCATCCCCCTGGGCATGACCAGGTGTGTTGAGGGTCTAGAGCAATGCCACTGTGCAGGTGGGATGGACACCTGGGCAGGTGTGGGTCACTCCAGTGTGTCACCATCCCCTTTTCATGACAGACCATCCCCTCCCTCAGAACATTCATTCATGATGTGTGTTCACCTTGGTAGGGGTGTACAAGGCAGGGACAGGGACACCATGACCTGGTGATGTCCCAGGTCACCTGGGTCAAAGCTGAGTTCTTGAATCTCACCTGCCAACCAGCCTTGCTCATACACTGGGCCAGCTGTAGGGTAGCCACCAGCACCTGTGCTGTGCTGGAGAGGGCCAGGATGCAGAGTTCCATGGAGTGCTGGTGCGGGTGGGGTGCCACCACACCCCTGTACTGGCCACTGGGACAGGAGAGGCCATTCTGTGGCCTTTCATATGGGGCTGAATCATTCACAAGGCTTTGTGAGGCATTGTCCCTGTCTGGGGGGGCAGTGCCATTGCCTCCAGAGGAAGGACAGTGACTCCGTCCTGCCACCCCTGTGCATCCAGAGGAGTGTCCTTGGAGAGCCCACACAGGAGCTGCAGCTATGATTAAACATTGATCTAAAATCAAGCAGTAAAAAAAATAGAATTAAACCTTTATGGTGGCGTAAAAAAACAGGCTAAATCCCTCAGTGGCTGTTAAGCTTTATCTGCACATCTACAGAGCCTGAAGAACCGGTCACTGCTGGTGTCCCGCTGTGCTGGGGCTGCCTGGGGCTCTGGGACCGGCCAGGCCGGGTGCTGGGAGCAGGCAGCAGCACGTCCCTGCCCTGACCAGGCTCCTCTGGGCTCTGCCAGCCCCAGCAGCCCTGGCTGATGCTGTGGGGGCTGCTGGCCAGCCCTGCACAGGTCACCCTGGCCTTGTCTGCAGAGCTGCAGGTCACATGAAGGCCACGAATAGTTGGGGTTTGACTCATCAGAGCTGTTCTCCACCCAGAGAAACCGTGCTGAAGAGCTCTGGTGCTCCTGATAGAGCCAGTGAGGGTCACTGTCACCCTCATGTCAGCCTCACAGACAGACTCCGGTCGTGGAGGACAAGGGATGAAGGTTTTAAACTGAAATGGGATAGATTTAGGTTGGACATAAGCTAGAAATGTTTATGATGAGGGTTTGAGGCCCTGACACAGGGTGCCCAGAGCAGCTGTGGCTTCCCCATCCCTGGAAGTGTTCAAGGCCAGGCTGGATGGGGCCTGGAGCAACCTGATCTGGTGGAAGGTGTCCCTGCCTGTGACAGGGGATGGAATGAGATGATATTTAACTCTCCTCTAAACCATTCTGTGTGTCTGTGATTGTGGGGATGAGGGGGATCTCTCCTGGGCATCCAATTAGAGCTGCTTGTCCTTTTTCCTGTAATAATAAAGGAGCAGAGGTATTTATCAGACATCTCCTCCCAGACCCATGAGGAACCCCCTCTCTCTCTCCCCTTTCCTCTCCTCTGGGGTGATGGATCTGAGTCTGTGGCCCTTGCTGGAGAGTCCACCCTGCTCTGCCTGTTCTGCACTCGGTGCCTAGGGTGGGATCCAGCGTGGTCAGGGTGGAGTGCCACAGCCCTGTGCATGGCTGGGCACAGACACTTGTGCCTTCCCAGGTGTTTGATTATGTGTCATAGACACCTTGGGGATGGGGTGATGCCTGTGACTGCCCCAGCTCAATGTGCTCCCCAACATGGGCTGGGAGCAGGAGAGGTGGGATCTGTCAGCAGCCTGGTGGGCACCACCAGCTCCTGCCCATTCTGCCCTTGCCCAAGCCCTGTGTTTGGGTTGTGCCTGTGGAAGGGGACACCCTCCTGCAGGGATGGCATGATGCTGCTCAGGTGTTTCATTGAGGCTTGGTTGGTGTCTTGATCCAAGAGAAGTACCCAGTGAGATCTGGCTGACTCCTGCATGGAGTTAGGGACCAAAATGTGCCTGGTTTGACTCTTAGGATGCTACATGAGGTGTCCCAGCCCTGCACATGGGCTCAGTGTTGTACCCCTGCTTGCCCCATGGCAGCCAGTCTGCTGGGCCACACCTGTCACTGCGGCCTGTGGCCTCTTTCCCATCGGTGTCCCTTGCTTGTTTGTAGATGTGGGACCTGAAGGGTCGTCTCAGGTGGTTGTGTGGTGATCCTGTGGTGATTGTGTGTGTGGCTGGCGCAGCTCAGCCTTGTTTGGGGCTGTTGGCACTGAGAGACATTGTGGTCCTTGCATATCCAGCCATGTTCTCATGAACACAGTGAAGGCTTTCCACCTCATCCAGATGGAAGATGTCCCCTGGCTCTCCTTCCAGAGTACCACAGTGCTACTGGGGCTTGGCCCCACACCATCTTTCCTAGAGGTGGCTTCTAAGAGATCTTGTCTGTTGTTGGGCCCTTTGTTGGCACTTTGTGGGGTTGAGCCTGGTGGGACTCATCCCTCTTCCCTGTCAGGTGCTGAGGTACCTGCTGGTGCCTGGGGTTGCTCTGCTGGGGTCAAGGTTGTTCCCTGAGGCTGAGCATGTCCCCTGTCCTGCTCTGGTGTCCCCAGGCCCATTCAGCTCCTACTCCCTACCCCAGTTTCCATCCAAATGCGCTCCTAAACCCATCTGGTGCCTGGGCTCCTGTCCTCTGAGTGTCTGTCCATGGCAGGGACTGTGGGGGCTGGCAGAGAGGGGACTGTGCTGGGCTGTACCAGGCCATGCTGACTGCCCACAGCCTGGCCACTGTCCTCACTGCTGGCCAGAGGGGAAGCCAGGGGCTATGCCACTGTGCCAGCTGCAGCATGGGGACATGGGGACATGGGGACATGGGGACATGGGGACATAGGGACACGGGCATGTGGGAACAATGGCCCACGGCCAGGGAGGGGTCCTGCTGGCGTTGTGGGTTTGGAAATCCTGGGATGTAGAGCAGCACCAAAGGGTGCTGCTGAGCCTGGGCTGGATCCATCCCGAGGCTGGGACTGGGGTGCTGGGGTGGGGGTGAGGGGTGGCTGCTCAGCCCTGGTGCTGCACACCTGTGCTGGTCCCGACCTAACACCTTGTCCCTTCTTCTTCTGTCCCCCTCCCTGTCTCTCTTCCTTTCCAGAAGGTGATGCTTCCTACAGGAGCCGCGTTCAGATGGTTCCAGTAGGAACGGGAATCCCAAAGCTCTGTCATCCAAGTGCAATGTCACTGCTTGCTTGTGTTGTCTCAGGCAAGGGATTTTTGGCTGAAATGAATGGATGCACCTGTGTCTCTTTAGAACCAAAAATATTTTCTCGCAAATCTCATTCCTGTTTTTATAATTTTTTTCTTTTTTTTCCTTTTTTTTTTTTTTTGCGTTCGTTTTAACATCTTCGAGTCCTAGTCAGACATTTAACTGCTTTTCAAATAAAAAACAAAAAAATAATTAAAAGAAAAAAACAATGGATCTGTAAAGTACCAAGACTTAATAGACAGAGTATGGACAATCAGTTTCTTTCTGTGTTTTGGTGTTGATGTTGTTTATGTGTGAAAGATGCAGTACTTGTGTAGGGAATGTAAATTTACAGTAACCTTTTAAAATCTAGTTACTAATAAGCACTACTGTAATTTAGCACAGTTGTTTAATTGCACCCTCATTTATACTTTTTATTTGATTCTTTCCCATCATACAATAGAGTGGATAGTTTCTAGAATGCCTCAACTTCATGTTTATAAATGAGAATATGTTTAAAGCGATGTAGTATCCCTTCTCCTCGCCATTCACCTCTGGAAGTTTAACCCACAAGAGGGTCGATATAAATGGTGGAAGAAAACAATTGCTACACAACTGGCGGAATTCAAAAAAAGGAAAAAAAAGAGTAAAAAAAAGGCAAAAAAAAAGTCGTTGTTAGTTTATTAATATAGAACAAGAAATGCTGCGTACAGAAAATCCTCCTAATTGCAATGGTTTACTCCTAGAAGTAATTTTTGTAAACTTACAGAAGTTAAAATCAAAATAAAACAAATATTGCAGGACCTGTGCTGAAGCAGTTACGCAAAGTGATATTTCTCTTCTGTTCACCCCCCCAGTCTCTCCAGCTCTCTCTCCATCATTAAATTGAAATGCTGTTTGTAATGTTTTAGCGATCCAGGCTGTTTTTGTGAATAAAATGAATGCATGTTTTGTGTCATGATTTCCAGCTTGGTTATTTCTCTCCCACCCCTCTGTCCAGCCCCCCCAGCAGTGGTGGTGGCCCACGTGCTGTGGTCCTGCTGGCTGTGGGGACCTCGCCAGTGACAATGCCAGAGTGTGTGGGACGGTGTGATGAGCTGAGCTGGAGTCGCCCTGGCTGCTAAATCCCTACAGTTAATCCTGGCAGTGCCTGGGCTAAGCCAGCCTTGGCTCCTCCCGGGGATATTTCCTTGACCTGCCTGGAGTTTTACCCAGCAGTGCCAGCACCATTTGTTTTGGTGAAATAATATTGAAGTGCAATATTGCGTTGAAATGCAGTGAAGAACTGCTGTGAGGCTCGTGTTGCTGGGCCAAGTCTGAAATGAGCTCCCAAAGGTGAGTGGGCCCTGGGATGGCTCTCCAGCCTGGCCACATGTTGGTACTGGAGCAGGAGCTGTCTGGGGTGGAGGGGATGTTGGATGGGCTAGCCATGGACAATGCTGCCAGTGCCTGGGTGCTGTGCTGGGAATCACTCCAGGCAGGTGGGCTGGGAACCTCCTACCAGTCCCCCGGAGGTTCTCCAGGGCCCTCCCAGCCTGGCAGGAGGAAGATCCGGCTGGAGCCGGCAGTGCTGGCTGTGCCTTGCCGGGAGGAGGGAGCGAGAGCCTTTGTCCCCAGCTCCAGCCAGCGTTTGGGCCAGCATCTGCTGGCCAGATGTGCACCCGCAGGAGGGGTTGACGGCGGTGCGTGGGCTCTGTCCCTGCCCGGCAGCGACCTGCTGGCATGGAGCAGAAAGCCCTTGGGGAAAGCTGCCCCAGATGCCCTCTCCAGCAGCATTCCCCCCAACTGCTTCTGCAGCTCAGGGTGGTTTGGAGCCCAGGGATCCTGGTCACAGCGGAGCTGAGCCCTGGGCTGGGTGTGGGAACCACTGCAGCACATGGTGACAGTGATGGAGCTGGGCCAGTGTGGTGAGTGACACAGCTCGAGGCCTGCAGGGACAGACAGACAGACCCTGGTCGTGCCCCAGCAGGGCTCTGGTGCATGGTTCTGCCCCGACCAGGGTGGCACTGGCAAGGGGCTGCTGGGAGCTGGTTCCCAAGCCCTGCTGCTCCACAGCCGAAAGCATTTAGCAAGAATGTGGTGGGGGTGTGCTGGGAAAAAGGAGTCTGGCTGCTGTCTTTATGATTGTGGCTAAGGGTTGGGGCTGTGTGAAGGCACAGTCCTGGCACCTGGAGGGAGCCAGACCCTGCCCCTTGCTGGGAGAGTGTCCTGGGGAGCAGCACAGAGAGCCCCCTCCCCAGCCCTGATCCCCTGGGGACCTGCAGGGTGGGTGCTGCTTCATCCCACCCACAGCTGGGGCTGGGGGCTGCTGGGAATGTCACCCTGCTCTGGCTGTGTCACCCACTACAGGGCTGTGCTCGGGGCTGTTGGCACGGAGTGGTGCTTGGGGAAATGCCAGCATGGCACAGCAAACCCTGCTGTGCCAGGCTGGCAGGGCACTGCCAGGGACCATGGGTGGACAGTGATAGCTGGGATATGGAGCTGCCAGGGAGAACACGGACATTAGCAGGGGACAAAGGGAGCAGGGGCTCCCCCAAGCAGGTAAACAGCTTAGGGAGAAAAGGATCAGATGTGGGATTCAAACTGTGCCTGGGAGTGGGATGGGGAAGTGGGGAGGTGGGATATGGGGTGCTGGCTGCCCACCACCCCACTCACAGCTCACCCCGTGCTGGGCTCCAGCCCTGCCTCCCAGGTGAGTGTGTGGGAGGGTGGCCTGTGCTGGCCTGGAGCTTTGCCTAATGAGCAGGACCTGAGGCATCCCCGAGGGTGACCCCATCCCTTCCTCCCTGCTCACCCCCTGTGCAGGGGCTGTCCCCACGGCTGCTGCTGGGGAAGTGGCACCCAGGGCTGCTGTCCCCAGGGTACCTGCTGGCAGCCAGGTGACACAGGGCACCCGGGATGAGGATAACGAGCTCGGCACGGCGCTGAGGGACAACCCTGGGCGCTACCACAAGGGCTGGCCTCGAGTCTCTCCTAATTAACATCCTCATTAGACAGAGTTAGCAGAAGGGCAACCAAACCTGCCTGTGGCCCTAGGGCGTGCTGTCACAGAGGGCACAGCCGTGTCCCCAACCCTGCTTGGCCTTGGTGGCGTGGGAAGGTGCCAGCAGGTGATGCCAGGTGAGGCCAGACCCTGGGCTGATCCAGCAGTGATGTTTTCCGTGTGGAGTAGCCTGGCTTGGAGAGGATGGATTCTGGGGTGAGCTGAGCAGGAGCTGGAACCCTCACAGTGGTGCCAGAGACACCCCAGCACTCTGTGGGGTGCCGGGCTGGGCTGCAGGGTGTCCCCACTCCGTGTCCCCGTGCCGGGTCTCAGCCTGGCGCTGCTCCCAGCCTCGTCCCGCCGTCCCCCGGGCTGCAATTAGCGGCTGACCCCGGGCTGACCTGCCCCCCCGGCCTGGGCATGGGGCAGGATGCAGGAAACGCCGGACAAAATACAAAATGTGCTTCAGCTGAGCCGGATGGCGGGCCCGCCGCCGGCCAGGCGTGACCTCCCGCTGCCACTGCAGGGACACCAGGGGACGGGACATTGGGGGAACAGGGCTGGGCAGGGGAGGCAGCAGGACCTCTGTGGTGGGGTGGGAACCTCCATGAGCACCCAATCCTGGTTTGCTGGGAGGGGAGCTAGTTCACACCCACCGCTCCAGCGGGAGGTTGGGATGGTGGGATCTGCTCAGGTTTCCTCGGTAGGGGCTTATCACAGCTCAGGGGGGTGTGGGGACAAGCCAGCCCTGGTGCCAGGTGTTAGAGCCATCCAGCATGTCCAACACCATCGCTGGGTGCTTCCCAACCTGTCCTGGGCTGAGCTGACACCAGCGTGGTTGGCGTTTTGGCAGCCCTACAGCTGCTGGATGGGACCAATGCAGGTGTCCCAGGGGTCACCAGGCATGGGGATGCTCACTCTCACACATCTGGGGGATGCTCACTCTCACACATCTGGCTTGGCTCAGGCTGGAGCCTGGGGCTGCTGGGACAGCTCAGTTGGGACCATTAATTGAAATAAGCCTCCCAAGTTCTGCTCCCCAGCAGCTGGCCAGGTGACCTTCCCGGTGTCACACACATCATGGCAGCTTTCCAGGCCCATTTCCAGCCTTGGCTGAAGTTCTTCCAAAAGGTTGTGGAGTTTTTGAATTCAGGCTAAGGATGCCTCGTTTTTTGCACGTTTTCCAGAGGGAGTGAGCTCTGTGTTGGCTCCTTCCCCACAAACATTGCCTGCTGGGTGTGGGAGAGGGGAGGAGGGTCCCACAAGGTCTGTGGGATGCTGTGTTGTCTCTGTAGCAGAGGAAGACTGAAAAGGGCTTTTCTTAGGGAAGAGGAGCCATGGGAGATCCTTTATCCATGATAAAGGCTTGACATCTGCATCACTTCACCTCTGGGAATTCCAGGATTCCTGGCCAGCCCCCACACACTGAGATCTCTCCACGCCTGAGCTGGGGCAGAGGGATATTTACCCAGCAGCATCCTTGGAAAGGACTCTGTAGGTGGAAGATAACACCCATTCCTGCATCCCACCAGCCCCACCCTGGGATGAGCTGTGTCCCCAGCAAGGCAAAGCTGCAGCTCCAGCTGGCCATGGGCCCTGGCTGGCCGCCCTGCTGCAGCTCTGCAGGAGGCTGGGGATGTCGCTGCAGCCATCACAGGGTGCTTTCTGCACAGAAACTGCCTGAGGTCCTCCTGCCCTGGGGACCAGAGCACCACCAGGCCTGGCATCCTGCCTGCAGCTCCATGGTGCTGACTCCATGGAGAAGCTGTCTTGGTTTGGGGTCTCAGGTTCCCCCTCTCCACCCCACAGAGTAGGTGACTGCTTGGGGAGTGCTGGCTGTGCTTGTGTGCAGGAGGACACCTCTTCCATCACCAGATCCTTCAACCCCAGCAGAGAACCACAACATCCAGCAGCCCTGGGCTGTGGGCAGCAAGGACCTTCTAGCCTGGTTGAGCCGTGGTGTCAAAAATAGGCTAGAAACTGCTGTAAAATAGTTGATAATCATTAAGCATGTACTGTTAGTTTGGTTATGGTAAAAGGGGTTAAAAGGAAGTTATAAGAAATTACACCTCAGTAAAGTGCAGCACTCCCCAAGTGAAACGAGCCAGCCTGGACAGAACTGCAATGGGCCAAGCAAGGCCTTAAACCTTCATGCAAATGAAGGATCCCAACAGAAACCAATCCAGAGGGACAAAAACAGGATAAAAAGGGGCATCTGACCCAGTGAATCCGTGCC